TTTGAAAAGCCTAAATGCCAATTATGTATTGCTTTTCTCAGTAATGCATTAGAATAAAGACTGTAAACTTCAGAACACTATTAAAAATGTACTTGTTATTAGAATGTAAATAGTGTTAGTATCAACTAAGGTCAGCTGGAAAGAAATACGTCTTAGTATTAACTAAAAAAAAGCCAAAACACATTAGCAATTCAATTCTTTGCTAACTGAAATTGTGTTAACTTTTATTTTTCTCTCTTGTTGAGGATGGAATTTGGCCAGGGAGATAAGAGCAGCGATATCACAAGCATGAAATTGTGGTAGTTTTGGATAGGAGGGGAGGTCTGCAGCCATTCTACTGGCTGACTGCTCCTGGCTCCACAGACGCCCTCCAGAGAAATAAGACTCTGGTTTCTAGATGTTTTTTAATTGTGTAATCAATTTTGAGAATCTGAATGGTGATTTGGCAAGCACTGGGAGATCGAGGTGCAGCACAGTAAACATTCCAGTGAGGAACTAGTGTGCAAATTAATGTTGGAAAATTTATTCTGCCATCGCCGATGAACTCCTTTTTTCCAACATGGTCATCAGCTCTGAATCTTTCCTGCAATAGTTCAAAACTCTAATCTAGACCTAAGACAGCAGAATCCCTATTTTTCCTCCTTCTTTGTTTCATTAGCAAGGTCTGATGAATTCCAGGTCTACTGCCACTGCAGAGCCCTGTAGAGTACAGAAGCAGTACCTCAATTAAATATGAAATATCAAGATAAATGTCTGAATAAAATATCCAGGACTCATACAAACTTCCAAAACCTGCTTGTCAGCAGTGAAATGCCATTAAATCCTCTAGGAACTCATTAATAGATTAACATTTGGAAGAGTAATTACAGCTAGATTAGAACTAAGAATAAAGAAAAATAAAGGAAAATCCAGCAGCATCATTTCTCTAAACTCTTGACACAAAATGAAGATCAATACTATAAAAAAAAAAAACAGAGGTAAGGAATTAAGGTCAAGATTATGTCAAAAATCGGTAAGCTGTTCATATATATTTCAAATAAAACCAGTGTGGATGCAACTGTTACGTAGTGTTTCATATTATTTGTGTGGAATACTACCTCACAGGGGATAGAAAAGGGATATTAAGGTGAAAGCAAGGATGTATCTGGAAATTGGCTGAGTTGATGACTTCAGTGCCCTTAACCTAAATCACAAATAAAATTAACAATGTCAAGCTTTGTAGCTACATTTTCTGAGCCAAAGCGAGACGCTGATCTGTAGTGAGACAGAAATATATTACCCTTCAAAAGGATTAAATACTGCAAAAGTCTTTTTTGAGAATTTATGTTACAGCTCTGTAAAGGGAAGAGAAAAGATAAAGTAGGTACTGTAGTTAGATAAATAGGTGAGATTTTGAGAAATGTTTTCATTTTTCATAAAATTCTCACAATCTGTGAATTTTATATATATAATGAATTACATTATAGCCTGGAATATGAATCTTGCGAATTTATGAAATAGGAAGAAATACAAATGGAGAAAATATGACTTTATTTAGAAATGCTTTTCTGCTACTGGGAGTGTATCTTGTATAGAACCAGGCTGCACAGAAGTGTGCTGGTGGGAGCTGAGGTATTTTCAAGAGGAAAAAAATTAAAATATATGGAAAGTAACAAGGTTGTAAAATACATAGATGACAAATAAAATGAAGTCATCAATGTGTAAAAAAATGTTAAGGTTTTAGATTTGCAATTTTCCTATTTAAATGCCCTCATTGATTTGTTACAAATACTGTTAACCCTGTGTTTGGAAAATGGTGAGGACATTATCACTTGTGTTCTCATTTGTAATAAAATAGATTAACTTGCTGTGAAATTTTAACTAGGCTGAGACACAACAGTAGCTACCTAATGAACCAGAGCTCATTGCTGTTAAGTAGCTAAATAGATGCATACTGATTACAGGACTGAAAAATGGATCTGTTTACTTGCAAAAAAAGAGTCTCTTCATAGTGTTATTCATTATAGTAGGGGAAATTCAGCATTACATTTCCACACAAACATTTAGAAATAGACAATTTCTTGATCCATATGGAGTCTTACTTGATGATACTCTATCCTCATTTTTAGTACATACAATGCAGAGAAAATTTCAACTCCTTTGTTACTTATAAGGAAAAGTGTGTTTTCCCTGTATATGTAAATTTTGTTACTGGTAAGATGTTAGATGACATAATCAACTAATTCTCTTAGAAAGTGATTCACTGTGTGATTAAGAATGACATTATTATTTGACACTTATATTTCTGCCTGAACATTTCAAACCAAGACCCTGAGTTTGAAGGCAAATTACTTGAAGCAGAGATTATTTTATAGCAAGAGACAATGGGAAATGCCAGGAGGAACTCGAATACTTTGCTTTTCCAAATCATCAGCTTTTGAATTACTCAAATAACTCCCTTTTAAGATGACATATATGGCTGTTTGTGTGATATCTAAGTGTTAATTCATAGTCATATTTGTTCATAGGTTTTTTTGCAGAACAGTTGGTATGTCCTCTCCTTGGCTATTCATTTTCATGGTTGCAACAGGCAATGAAATTTACTTAAACTATGTGCTCTTCTGTAAAAGTAGTCATTTCAAAATGATATCTTAATTGTAAATTGCGTCTTCTTTGTGGTAAAAAGAGAGAAAATAGCGCCAAAGAGGATTGTTAAAAGTGAAATCCCAGCAAATAAAATTACAGTCAGAGTTGTAGCCTGTTACAAGTAACCTATTTGAAAGTTGTTATTTACACAAGAAAGACACATAGTATTCGTAAGCTCAGGATTGCATGTATATGATATATCATTTATTTAGCAGAATACTTCTTGGGGTAAGAATGTGACTTTTAAAAGTAACTTAATAAGCAACCCATCCACAGAGTAAGTCATAACTCTTTTACTCTTCCTCTCATCTCAGAAACCTCTAAACCCACTCTTTTGGAGACAGAGAAGAAGAAAATACAGGAGGCTTTAAGATCAGTGACTTCGACTTTTTTCTCCCAGAATTTGAAAATTTGTTTGTTTAAAACCATTCCCTTTTCAAAATTTTAACAACTTGTGACTGAAAATAATAGATTCATATCTGTTAAAACTTATTAAACATTTTTAATTAGCATTCAAACTGCAACTAAGTCGCCCTTTAAGATTTATTAGTTATTGTATGTTCATTAAATAACAGATAATTAGTGAAAACAGATCCATTGAGGATTAACAGCTATGTAATAGATACACATCTGCTACATGATTTTGAGGCTCAGTTGTTATTTAATGTACAATAACTATCCTATTAAAAACACATTCAATGCTATGTTTTTAGCTGGTGTGATTGGAATAGGCAAATGCCACCCCTTGCTATTACGAGGATCCAACTTCACATTCCCTTTGCATCATTCTCAAAAGTATCTGTGAACGTGAAGATGAATGTGGTTTAGAGAGATGGTTTTAAGGCATAACAGAATATTCTTGAAATGCCAATCTTATTGCCAGTATTACAAATGAATTGCCTCAATAGGTTGTGAACAGAAGCTATTATGCTAGCTATTTATAATGGAAAAACTATTAGAATCTACCATTCTCTTCCTAGAGCTATATTATTGATTGGGGATACTGTCTAGCAAAAACTGCAGTTTATTTTCCAAAAGCACATGGTAAATTGCTACCAAGTAGCCAGATTGCATACTCCTAATGAAAAAATCTTTGAGAATAGGTTAGAAAGGCAGAAAAATTGTGAAGTTCCCTTGAGAAAACTTCCCCAGATTACACTGTAATTGTGATTTTTAATGAGGTGGGGGCAGGATGGTCTCCCTTTTTTAAAAAAGAAAGTAATATTTTAGTTCTGAGTTTCCACAGGGAGCAGCTGATTGCCAGGGATGAGGGCAACTCCAAGGATGCAGTTTCTGGAATTCTGTAAATTCAGGCATCTCCTTGTTAGTGTGTCTCCATTGGAACTACACTTTCAAGAATTTGTAGTAGAGGATTTAAAACACAGAAGGATTTTAAAGATAAAAATTTCTAAAGTATCTCAGGCCATGATCTGTCCATTTTAGAAGGTACTAATTTCTTGTTGGTCCTGGAAACAGGGATGAAAGGTACTGGAATTGTGAATTAATTCAGAAAAATTACACATGTGGGATCACTGGGTTGGAAGGGATCTCAAGTGGTCATGTAATCTCCAGCCTTCCTCAAGACTGGATGAATTATTACTTATGCCACGCTTGTCTAACCCATTCCTAAAGATTTTTACTGATGAAAACTCCATGGCATCTTCAGGCAATCCGCAGAATTTCATTTCGCTAAATTTTTATAATTTCTTATCCTTTATTTTCTCCTTGCCTAAAGTACTATGTATATTTGAATTAGAGGTTAATATCAAAGTGAAAATGTACACATAAGAATTTGCAAGCACGTTCTTTTTTTTTTTGTTGTTAGCCAGTGGTGCTTTTCATGCAAAAGTGAAGTTCTTACCAGTGCCACAGCTTTTAAAATTTCTCTGGGTGCTACCCTGAGAAGATATTGCTGCAAATTATTCAGGTACAAATTCTAGTGAGTTTACAAATTTGACTGCATTTAGTGACTGTTTAGTCCGAATCTGAATTGTTTATTTGAAATGTGACTCATATATGTCAATTTTACTACCCCTAGATTAAAAGTAGTTTGTGAAAACAGCATGAAGGACCATTCTCTATGTTCCCATGTGTCAAAAAGATAGAAAATAAAAAGTTGCCAAGAAAAAAAAAAGGTGGCAAATGCTGTATCATAACATAAAGGATGAAAAACTGTGCCCAGATACATTGCATGTAGAAGGCTACACTCTTTTTGGCTAGAGAAGACTACACTGCTCTTTCAGTGTGAATTGTGTTCACTATTTATCCAGAAAGACCATTTGTTATTGCTGTTTTAGCCAACTTCATTTTTTCGTTGAACTTCAGTGAAGTTCATGAATCAAATTGCACAGACCTTGTTTTATTTCTGTTTCAAGGAAAGGATTCAAGACAGCCCTTCGCCAGCTCCGTCTCTAGAAGACAGTCAGCGACCTGGGAGCCATGCTTCCTCCCATCAGAGCAGCAGCGTGTCCAGCTCGCCCTCCCAGTTGGACAACACACCAGACAGAATTGGTTAGTGCTCTGCAGCCTCACACCCCTTCACAGTTACTGAGCTCAAAAACTTTAGAAGTTTGTTGAAGGAAATATTTCTTTGCTGGGAAACACAGGGAAGCGCTCACTTGCAGAAAAAAAACCAACCAGAAAGTTCATTAGTATAGTTTGTTTTATTAGTTTCATCACTATGCCCAGACCCTCAGAATCATTCTATGTTAGTATCCATCCATGCACAGAAGATATTACCCCTTCTCTGGTATGACCAATTTATCTTGCATGCTGGAGTAAGAAAGTGCCTCCGAAGGAACCTGGAATTGAAAAATAGTAAGATATCTTTTTCTTTTTATGTATGTCAGAAAAGTCCCAGATTATATGATGGCTTTTCCATCCCAAAAATCTCCTCATGCCCACGCATTTCCTCATCAGCACGAGGCTGAGGGCTGTTTTTGGGCTCTCCACCACAGCTTTCACAGTCTGTGCGTTATCGATCTTGTGTTTAAAATGCTAATTCAGTCTAGAGAAAGTTTGGAGCCTATTCTTGGTGCTTCCAAGAGGGATCTAGGGCAAGTCAATTAACATCTCTTCACGTCAGTGTATGTCAACACTGTTGTCTTCACAGTGACTGGAGCCTATGCAGGCACTGCTGAGCTAGTTTTAAACTGCAAAAACAGTGCTGTCCATGTAAGTCAGCATAGACTTCACTCCCATCGTATAACTACTCAGCCGCTTGCTGGGATCTTGCAGTTTGGACTCTGCTCCATGCGGCAGCACCATGGCACTACGCAGCACAGTTGGCTGTACACAAACTAGTCAGTGGAACTTGAACTACTTTGCCTAAATGCATGCACACACAGGGCAGAGATTAGAAAGTAGATTCCCCTCAGCTTTTTCATATGTAAAATAGGGCTAGAAATATACAGGAGAGGAAATGGAACTTCCTATAGCAACAGTGAAAAGGGAATTTTGTCCTGACTAGCTTTTGAAAGCCACTGTAACTTGTTTTATTAGTAATAGTAGCACACACTGCAAGCCTCTGCGCTCCAGAAATGGTGCTGAAGGCTTTTTACAGAAAACTAGGTTTTATTTATGTTGAATCAAATGTTTCTCTGTGTTGAAGTCTAATGCTTACTGTTGTAAAGATTATATATATACTTTGTATCTATATAAATACAAATATATTTTTACCTCAGCTATTTAAAAAAAAAGAAAAAAAGCTTTCCCTAAAATATGTCAATGATGTTTTTAATAAGTGTCCTCACTGGAATAACTTTAAATTCTGTAATTAGTTAATTGCAGAGAAGGAAATGGTGTAATTAAATAAGAACAAAGAAAATAGGCATCCTGAAATCATAAACGTAACACCTCTCACTGATATTGCAGGTGTTAAGCAAAGAATTTATTTCAACACTACAGAGTATTGTTTTCCTGCTGTCATCTATGAATTTGGGTTTCTATCTGTATTTTTTATTACATTTGCTGCTTTATAGATAATTACTAATAGTTAAATACTTAAATGGTTTTTTTTCCCCAAAATGATTTCCGTGAAGTACTTTTCTAATTATTTAATTTGAACATTTCATAAGAAATCACATTCATCTCAGTAGTAATTTGGGTTCTATTTTGGTATCTTTGTTTAATCAAGTTAAGAAAATTTGCCTTTGCTGCATATTTTAGTTGGCTTTAAGTGCTGAGCCGGGACAGTGAAATGTTTTATTATGGGCAATAAAAATGGTCAATTGCTTTAGAACTTATATAGTATAAATAAATGTTAAAATACCGACATATTGACAAAGAGGAAATATAATTTATTATTTTCCTCTCTTCTGACTTTTTTTTTACTTGACAGTGTTATATAGCTGTGCACTCTGATTTTTTTAGCTATGCTGACCAACAGCAGGGAAGGAGAACTCATTGATCAAGAAACCGGGACCAGCCTAAAAAAAATACAAAAGGATAAAGGTAGAATTACAAACTGTTTTCCATCTCAGGCATTTAATTACACTTATTATGAGTTTTATTCCTTTTTCTATTCTACTGCATATGCAATTGCGTAATATTATAAATTTAAGAGAGCTAAGTGCCTAATTGCAATGAATAACGTATCCAGTGAATTTACATGGCGTTCTTAGGAAGTGTAAACAATTAGATCTTTGCTTCTCTGTGTTTATATAGTATGGGGCTAATATTTTGCCGGTCTTTTGACTCAATTATTTATGAAGTTCCTAGCAAATATTTGATTAGTCACATGGTACTGTTTCTTTGCCTCCAGGGTGTGTGTGTGCAGACTAATGCTGGTATGTAGGTGAGGGAAGTAAGCCATTTTTTCTGTCTAATAATATTACATTACCTCATAAGTGAGAGGCAGCAAGGGAAGAAGTGATGTTTGGCCTGTAGTGATTGTCCTGTAGGCAGGGAAGAGCCCCCTCTGCTCAGTTCTCCCTTCAGTGATTGCTGAGTACTGGAGAAAGTGAATACATGGGTGCATGCAGGTAAGCCCCGGGGAAGCGGTGTAGTGACAAGAGAGCATGTGGCATCTGTGGCTGCACGTTGCGGAAGAAGCCATTTTGTTTCCTTGCAAATAAAACAAAAAAAAAAATTAACATTAATAGGTGGGAGGTTTATTCTGGCAGTATGTTCAGAAAGCACCACACAAAATGACTGCCTGCAAAAAAAGAAGATGGGACATAGTTAAAGAAACAAACGAAAGCTGAAGGTAAGTGAATACTGGAAAAAGACTGCAAAGGCGTACTGAGGGCGATATTACAGTTTCAGATTGAGAAAGATGTGAAGGAAAAGAAAGAGAGGCAAGTGACCGAAAGAGGAGACAACGTAAGCTAAATGTACTTATAAGTCTACTGTAAATATGAACATTTTATCATAAATGAAAACACAAACTGATTTATATTTTGATTGGGGGGATTTTAGGTTATCCGTAAAAACCAAACTCATGCACCTTAGGCCTGAGTAAGTGATTGCATTCTCTGTATTTAATGTATTTTCTGAGAAAACTAAAAAGGCAGGTATAGACAATTTTATGAGCTACTCAAGAGAATTTGGAGGCTCTATGTGCCCTGTGCTTCCAGAGTTATTTAAAATTATTTAAGCAGATTCATGATTTTGTATGATCAGCTCTATTCTTTAGACGTCTGTCACTGATCCAGTTATGGGCAGGAAGAGCCTGAAACTTCCTGTATTTTATGTTTTTGTACTCCACTCTCCTCCTGAAAGCAGAAGCTGTTTTCTATTTACTGGTTTCTCTAGACATTTAAGCACTTTCCTTGTGAACCCCAAAAGAGCCCTTTTGTGCAATTCTGAGATAATTTTCTGTCTGGATCATCATGCTTAAATCCTTCCCTCTTGACTCCTGTTGGCATTTTTAGACCAACACCAGAGGCCAAACAGTTATCAACCATACCTTCATTCCTAAGATTTAAAAATCGTATTTCTGTAGTAATCGCATAGTTGAGTATTTAATCTAAATCTGAAAGTGTAGTTGATTTTGATTTTGTTGAACTGTGCATGGTTTCTTGCCACATGTTTAGTTATTTTTCAGAGAAACAATTCAGTATCCTATGGGGTTCAAAGATGCAAATCATGTAGTTATTGGTAGTAGCAGTCTTATCACTCAGGACGGATGAAGGAAGGTACAGTTTAAGGATCTGAAAAGACAATTAAAAAATCCCCAAAAGCGTGAAAATAAGTTAAACCCCTCCACCTGTGAACCCAATACCCAGGCTCCTGTGATCATTGAACATTCCTTGTGACATATACGAAATCAGAAAGATCTGATGCTAACCTGTTGTGTGCTATAATTCACCTTAAGTTGTATGGGTTTATTCATTTCCTGGTCTACATTTTTGCATAGTATTATCTTTCTTCAATTGATTATATACTGGGAAATATGTCTTTATTACATGTGTTACTTCTGCATGCACCTACAGATTTTTTTAGGATGGAGTTAGTGTTCAGAGATTGACCTACATCAGAAAAAAAGTGCTTTGAAATCATGAGACATTTTAAATTAGCATTTTAAAGACAGAATAATGTTTTTGTTTTCCTACTTGATCTGCACAGGTCAAGTTTTTCTCTGAAAATACAAAAATGCGAAATTATTTCTTTTTGTCAAGTAAAGATGTAGTTTTCAAGTAATCCCACGGCTCCAGAACTGAAACCTTTTGACGACATTATAGTGGGACAAATGCTGACATTTTAAAGGCACCAGCAACATTGCATATCCAACAATTCCAAGCTGATTTTGCATTTGGCAGTGTGACAAGCCTGTATTACAGTTCCTGTAGGAATCTCTGTTTTGTGGGATAGAAGCACCCTATAATTGATGGACTGCACCAGTAGGACAGAGTCAATAATCTGCTTCTGAAAATCCCCAGCCTGTTTGTGCTGGGTCTTACAAGCGTCGTTATTCCTCACTGATTTGTCTCACTCCCATATAGATCCTTTGTTCCTAATAGTAGTAGTATTCTCTTGTGTATAATTATTTTGGGCTGTGGTGCACCTCAAGTATGTTGACTGTTTTTCGTAGTCAGATGTGGACAGTCATTGAAGAATGTGATCTGTGCTGGGTTGCTCAGCAAAAAATATACTTGTAATGTGTATACAGAACAAGCTTTGTTTTTCAAAACCTGCCATTACTTTTACTAAGGCAAAATATATTTACCATGGAAAAGATTTTCAAAGTTATTAAGAAGGAATGTAGTTAAAATAAAAGTATCAACATTTATTAAGTATGACAAGTAAGCGGTTTATACAACTGTGGCAAACATATGTTTTCACATCTGTTTTGAGTAATATCATCATGATTTTAAAAATGATTTATAGCTCTGCAGGCCATAAAATGCCAGCTTTGCTGTAAGTTGGAAGTTTTCAAACAACAAAGAAATTATTGAAGGCATATATTGAACATGTTTTTGTGTTATACACCTTGATATAACTTTACAAATCTGAGTGCTCTGTTACAATTAAGGTAGCAACAAATGAAAAATAAGTAAGTAAAATTTAGCAGTAGTACTACTTATATGTTATCTTAGCATAAAACCAGTAAAAGTTATTGTAATTATTATAGGCAAATACTGTGATATCCCTCAGGATACACAGTTTTTCTTTTCCGTGTCCTATTTTAAGCGATCTCAGCACAAGACAAAAATATGCCTCCTTGTTCTCATCAAAGTAATTTCAAGGTAATTAGGGCTGAAGAGAATATAGTTTAACAGTTTTTCTTTAAAAGACAGTTAATATGAGGTTGTTCAGTTCTGTTGAGCTGTTTGCCTATGTTGGTGGGGGCAGAATTTTCAGAATTAGCGGCTGTCTCAGGGCAGAGTTGTTAGAGCCCAGTTACAGACCATACCTTTAAGCTTTTTGAAGAAATGCCATTTAATCTCAGTTACTCCATACCTTTCATCATCTTTTTAGGAAGTGTGGTCAGGCTTAACATTAGAGGCCAACAGTGTCAAACATCTTTATAGGTCTGCAGTTTTATTTTTTTCATACAAAATCCATTATTATATTTTTCTTAAACACCTTTAACCATTATGGTGCACAAGCACTTTGCCTGTGCATCCATATCAGGGTGTGAGTGAAAACCATATGAAGTCATCTGTGCTTTATTTTGAAATCACTATTTTGAAATCCTTTCTGTGAAAGGAAACAGAACACAGCCCCAGATGTTTACAGAAACTTAAACACAAATTCTTCCTGATTGTGCTTATTTGCTATGTCTGGTTTTAAGCACTTACATTTTACCTGCACAATTGTTCACTGAAACTAAATTTTAAATTCATCTGCTTCAGTATATATCCTGGAAAAATCTCTATGGTATGGGAAAGGATTGTGTTTGACACAGCCCTGTATAGGCTCTACAGAAACCTCCATATGAATTCTGGCATTAGGAAGATTAAATGAGCCAGAAAAGAATTTGGCCATGCCTTCCAGTCAGATTTAAATGCCGGTACAATTATTCTGTTTGACTGCATGACAAGAAGTATTTCAAACTCCTCATATAGGACGGAGTAATAAAAGGCGCTGGCCTAACTCTTGCCACAGTAATCAATGGGAATGTTTGTGATATCTTCAGTGGGAACAGAGTTTGGCCAAAGCCTGGTATTTTGGAATATCGCTCCCCCAGCTAATACCGCTGGTTATTACTCCAGACAGGGATGGTACACGCTCACAGGCTGTGCAAGTGCTGTACCTCCTGGACTGGTGGCATGCCCTGAGCCCTGACGAGAGCTGGGTATGCACCAGCCCTGCCCCTCTGCTCTGATTTTAGCAGGAGGAAAGCCGGGCGTGTGAGCCCCGGGGGACCACGGCATGCTTTGACCGGGTGTTCACATGGGGCTTTGTGGCACTGGAGCTGTACTCCACCCTAAGTGAACAGAGTCAGATTTCATGGGAAAACTTCATAAATGATGAGTATCTTTGGACTTAACCATTGGTCAAGCAGTCTGAGTAGAAGTAAAGCTTGTATTTGTTGAGAAAGGGATTTGCTCTGAATTTCCCAGAGCTGTTCGGTGGTGATGCTATCCTCCTCTAGCCTGGTTGTCTGCATCTTCAGAGCAGAACTCTGGATTCAAGGGCTGTGTGTCATGTTTCCAGTAGACGGTAGTCTCCAAAACTGCATCTGGCAGCTATCTCTTTTCATTTTATTAAAGAACACTTTTCCCTTTATTACTTCAAGGAAATGGGAATTTTGTATCATTTCAGTCAGCTGAGTGAAATATTTTCAGATGGTCAGAGACTACAGTAATGAAAGAATAACTATATTTATTTATTGTATTTCATTAGCGGAATAGAGGTTTTATGCTGTTTAAATTAATCATTGCCAAAGGACTGGGTTACTCATGATGTGAGGGGAGGAGAATGAGCAGGTGCAGAACACCTGAAACAGCAACAGGCCGTGGTGGTGGGAGGGTGTCCTCCAGAGAGAGGACTTTTCCAACAATTAA